CAGGATGGGCATGGCAGGCATGGCCATATCCAACCTGCGGGCCACCAATTTGACAGGCCTGACCTATATTGTGAGAACTGATTATCTGAATGACTCAAGTAGCTGGCCTGTCTAATTCAGCACCTCAGAGAGATCTCCTGCCAGTTAACCATGATGGTGTGTGTGTGTGTGTGTGGTTTGTGTGTGTGTGTCGCACATGTTGACAAGCCTTCTTTATTCACTTTCTTTATTCAATAAGCTGCGACCATGTCATGTGAAAGGCAACTGAGATTAGATATATCCAGTGTATCATGGATGACATGAAGAAAGTGGGCAGGGAGAAATTTTTTTCTCAGCTTGAAAAAAATAAGACCAGGGATCAGTCAACAAAGCTGTCTGGAACGAGGCTTTAGAGTATAAGAATGTATTTCCTTACACATCATTAACCTCCCAGAATTCATAACCACAACTGCAGTAAATTTGAATGGCAACTAGAAACATAGGAAACATGGGATTTGGATGACATTTAGATAAATTTATGGAGAAAGCAGTTCTCAAGAGCTATAAATCTTGAAAAGCTAATGTTGCTCTAGGGTTGAGAACAACTTGGCCCCAAATATCAATTGGAGGGGAGCAATGTTGGAAGAGGGATTTGTCACTATTTTCTGTATTTGAACATCCTAGAGCAGTGATGGCGAAACTTTTTTGGCTCACATGCCATAAGGGGGAGAGAACACAGGGGGGTTATGCACAGGCGTGCCACACTCATAATGCAACATGTGACCTATCCAGTGCACATGCACGCATGAGAGCCCCCCCCCCCATTTTTTGCATGCTTTTTTCGCCCTGCCCAGGCTCCAGAGGCTTTATAGGAGACTGGGGACGGTGAAAAAAGCCTCCCCCATCCTCCTGGAGGCCCCCAGAGGCTTCAGGGACCTTCAAGAGGCTTCCCTGAATCCTCCGAAGGGCAAAAAATGACCACACGAACAAACCGGAAGTCACTTCCAGTTTGCTCGTAGGGTCGGTTTAAGCCATCTGGAGGCTTCAGGGACCTTCAGGAAGCTTCAGGGAAGCTCTTGAAGCCTCCAGGGGGACTCTGGGGGGGACGGAGAGGCTCTTTTTGCCCTCCCCAGGCTACTATAAAGCCTCTGAAGCCTGGGGAGAGCAAAAAATGGATTTAAAAAAGGCTATACTCAGCTGGCCAGTGCGCGCATGTGCGCTGGGCAACTGACAGGGCAACGCTTTGCGTGCCCTGACAAATGGTTCCACGTGCCACTTGTGGCACGTGTGCCATAGGTTTGCCATCCCGGCCCTAGAGGCATTTTCTTAGTCCCTGTAAAAAACAAACGCTTGTCTTGGCCAACAGGGCCTTTGTAAATTCTTGTGCTGTTTTTACCTAATAGCATAATGCTGTGATGGCAAACCTATGGCACACATGCCACAGGTGGCACACGAACCATTTCTGAGGGCATGTGAGGTTTTGCCCTGTCAGTTCCAGCGCACATGCGCATGCTGGCAAGCTGATTTTCGGCCATTTTTCACCCTCCAGAGGCTTCCCCGAAGCCTCCGGAGGGCGAAAAACCACCCAATGCGCAAAGCAGAAGCTTGGGAATGGACTTTTGGATTGTGTGTTGGGCTGTTTTTCGCCCTACGGAGGCTTCAGGAGGCTTCCTTGAAGCCCGCAGAAGGCAAAAACAGCCTAATGTGCCGCCCGGAAGTCGGGAGGCTTCAGTGAGGCCTGTGCGCATATGCGGGTGGTGGTGGTGGCTTGTGTGTGAATGCGTGCATTGCATTATGGTTGTGGGCATGGGCCACTCCCCCATGCTCCCCACGCTTTTGGCATGCCTCGACAAAAAGGTTAGCCTTCACTGGCATAATGTGTAAATTGGATGAAAGTGAATAATTCAATGAATGCTATGAAATAATCAAATAAACTTGGTACCACTGGCTCTTTGTTTCACGTCTCCTCTGCTCTGGGCCACCAGAGAAAATATCTACTTTTAAACAGAAACCTTCAACATTTACCTGGAGCATAAAATGCCTGTCTGAAGCATCCTCTAATTTCAAGTCCTGGTTTTTTAGATGAGCTTTCAGTTGGGTCAAAAATTCGTTCTGCCTGTTGATATCTGTTGCCAAGATCAGGGAACCAAGCTGTTGTTCAATGTCATGACTATAGGACAATGCAAAATTTAAAAAAAAAACTGTTATTAACAGATGTCATTTCCCTCATTTTGTATTGTTAGGGTAATGGCTCCTCTTACTAAGTGGCCATTAGGGTGGCCACTGGGAGAAACAACACCATCAAAATGGTGGGCATAATTGGAGTGATCCAAGCCCTGCCTATTTTTTCATATATGTGAGTCACATCTTTAAACGAGGTGGGGCTTCAATTGCCTAGGTGTGCCCACCATTTTGATGCCATTGCCCCTTCTTGTGTACATCCTTGAGGAACTCCATTTTCATTTGGCTTATGATTAGGGCTGTGCAATGGAAGGATGCTTCAGAAACTGAATGTAGCATCTTCCCTGCAGCTCATTAAAACAGCTACATCTTTTTCCACAATCACACAGCCCTATTTCTCATAGCGCTGGCATAAATCTCACCAGAGTCCTCCTGTAGTTTCTCCCAGTTTGAATGAGGCAGCAAGCACTCTGGACGGATGCTGAACTGTATTCCACACATGTGCCCTATGTGCTGACAGTCCACGAGAGTTCACAATTTTTGCTACACAGAGATTTTGAATGTGGAGAAGGAAAATATTTAAACTTGGTATAGAGCTTGCCCTTAGAACACCTGAGTAATGCCAGACAAATTGGGCAATTTCTAAGCTGTATTTTAATTTTTTTCCAGACCAATGTGATTGGGAAGCATGCATGTATGCATACAGATATGCATGCATCAACATACATACCACATCCACACGGATCACACAGGGATTACAACACCATACTATATTCACAAATGTGGATCTTTTCAAAAATTTTGAATCTGGTGATTTTATAGTGTTCCAAGGCCAATAAATAGATCGGTAAATGAATAAATGGATGGACTCACAAATCAGGCCAGGGAAAAACCCAAACAAACTCACCATTCATTTGCACACCTGTTCATCCTATAAACTGCACTGTAAAAACATTGCATTCAAAAAAGTTTTGGGAATCCACATGAGATCAGCTCATTTCCCAGAATCCGATGCTCACCTCTCTTCTTTCGGCAGATGTGCAAGGAGTCTTGATTCTCGAAGTATGCCTATTGTAGATCTCCAGTGATGGTTTTCTAATACAGAGACATTCTGGAAAAGGGATGAAAAAAAAAAATTGAAAAGCACACCAAACTGGAATGGATGCAATTTTAATAAAAAGAATAGGTGTATTTTTAAAAAGGACAAAGTATGCATTTCATTCGGTGTTGTGTAAGGCAGTGAGGTTGTCCTACAGTAGCTTTGTCTTAATTCACAGGGCAATAATGTTTCTCCATCCTTTTTCTTTACTTCTCCCTATAAGCCCTGACATTTCAAAGACTTTGCAGCCAGGCCTTAGATCATCCCAGCTGTATGCCTAGCATTTGGCTGTGCCTTGTCAAAACTGATAGAGAAAGATGAGCTTGTCACAAGATAATCTCATCATCATTCTGTACTAGCCTTGGTACTTGTGGCCCTGTCTGTTCCTTTATCTTTGAGTACAAGGACTGTCTAAATTGTTACATAGCTGACATTTCAGAGAAGGGAAGGAAAAATGGGGGGGAAGACCTCAAGCTTTTAAAAAAGCGTATGCAGCTCTCCTCTTATTTCTGTAATGAGCTAATTATAAAACTGGGATTCTGTTACTGTGTTTCCCCGGAAATAAGACTGGGTCTTACATTAATTTTTGCTCCAAAAGATGCATTAGGGCTTATTTTCTGGTTAGAACTTATTTTGAGGGAAATATGATACTAAATGCATCCAATCTTAAGTGGGGCTTAATTTGGGGGTAGGGCTAATATTACGAGCATCCTGAAAAATCATGCTAGGACTTATTGTCCGGTTAGGTCTTATTTCAGGGAAACAGGGCGTAACCCATTCACACCTATTGACTGAGTTCCTTGGATGTATTTTACAACTGAAAAGCAACTAAATTCAATCAGTGTCATGTGCCAAGATAGGAAGGCCAACTAGGCTTGGGGATATCCAAATTCCAATCCCAACCATTGAGATCCCTCAGTAAGTTTAGCAGACATTATCTCATCGTTCAAGCCTACTTCATGAATTGTTGTGAAGACAAACATATATTTATGGGGAAGGAGAGAGAAATGCTTGGAGAAAATATTGTCTAGGAATTCAATAAGTAAATGTGTTACTAAATGATGGACAACAGAGATTTATGTCTGGCAAGGTTCTATGCCAGCCAGATAACACTGTTAGATCCAGAGGCCATTTGGGTGGGGAACTGTTAAAAAACTATTAAATCATAAATAATGGCCTGTGCTACTATAATTCTTTAGCCAAGATTAGAAACGTATAAAGCTAACACTTTTTATTGAATGCAACCTCTGTTTATTAAAGAATACTATGGAAGTTTCACTTATATATTCAACTGCAGCATTTGTCTTGGGAGAGAATTCATGTAATCTTTGGCACCATTTCCAAATTATTTTTCTTTTTGATTTTGGGCTATAAAATGTATGTTTGTTCCAATATATATTTGAAATCGGTGCTTTGTGTCTGCCTCTATTTTTAATTTCTGAAAATTTTGAACAGAAAGTCTGACCCCTAAAACTCAAAATTAACTATGACATTAAGCAATTTTGTGCCATTTTTCTTAGTTCACAGTACATAGCATAGGGAGTACCTATTCTTCAAACCTATCTTTACAGCTATTCACTTTTTAAAATGAGGCACAATCCATCTCCTTCTCATAATCTGCACTTTTTTCACATCACTGTAGAATTATAAAGCTACTGTTATATCTCATAAAAGTAGGAATAGAATTTTAGAAAGTTCTGTTTCCTACAAATTCTGTCTGCATATGTGGGGAGTAAATGAGTTATGTGAGTCATTTTTATAGGCATGGATGACTGCTTCCCACACTTCATGGTCTACGTCTTGAAAATAGTTCTTCAATAACTGAAAAGTTGAGGTGACCATGGCAAAAAGAAGTGACAGCAACCCTAACACTGTACAGTTATAACAAAGGTGATTTTAAAAAGCAATAATTTATGCTAACTGCTATTCTCACCTGATATAAACCGGCAAGATGGTGTTTAGTTTTTATTAAAAATGGCTGGTTGACTCCTGGATGGTCTACATCATGTGCTGCAGCAGCCAATAATCCAAGCATAACATCCAGAGGGGTGAGGAAGTTAGCAAGCTGGAGCATGTAAAAAGGGGTTCAGAGTTAAAGGTGACTGCATTTTTACAATATGTATTTTTACATGTTACAATTACCATACATTGTAATCTCATGCACTGTGTGAAACTTTATGCAGGTTTTGTTTGAATAACAAAACATTGGACCTAATTCACACACAATGTTACGTCATTAATGTTGGTTCTTAAAGCACTGGTTCCCTCATCACACTAAGTCCGTGATGGCAAACCTATGACATGCGTGCCTGAAGTGGCTTGCGGAGCCATGTGTCCTGGCACGTACGGCCTTGCCCGTTTCTCTTCCGGGTTTCTGGCACATGCGACGATCAGTGGTCCTTCCTGTGTGTGGCAGTGTTTGAAACTGGAAGAGCTGGTCTTCTGTTTTCCTGCATGAGCATGCATGCCAGCCAGCTGATTCTGAGGTGCTGGCCAGTGTCCATGTGCATGTGCTCGCCAAAAACTGTAAGTTCATTTTCGGGCACGCAGATGTGCCTTGGGCAGCTCCTCCAGGTTGCGGCCAGTTGAGCGCAAGCACATGTGCAAAGTGCACACGCGAGCTCCCTTTTCGGCACTCGAGGCCGAAAAGGTTCACCATCACTACACTAAGCTATGGCTTGTTTCCACTCTAGTTAACATAGTTGAACAAACCATAGTGGCCATAATTTATAAAGCTCAATGGCTGAATTCATGTATCACATTAATTCAAAGCCAAGCAACCATTATGGCTCTTTGTATACCCATTTTTCAGCGACTCCAGGAAACTATAATGTTTTTCACTTTATACCCTCACTCCAGGGGTGAAATTCAGCAGGTACTGACAGGTTCTGGAGAAGCAGTAGCAGAAATTTTGAGTAATTTGGAGAACCGGCAAATACAACCTCTGGCTGGCCACAGAGTGGGGAAGGGAATGGGGATTTTGCAATATCCTTCCCCCAGGAATGGGGAGGGAATGAATTTTGTACTGTCCTTCCCCTGCCATGCCCACAGAACCGGTAGTAAAAAAAATTGAATTTCACTGCTGCACCACTCCCTATTATTCAACTTTAGCAACAAAGTGAATTGCCATTTTTTAAAAAGAACTATTAAATAGTGATATGAAAATTATATGTCAATAACTTTTTTTTTTGGAAAGCATGCTGCCAAAGCCTGATAGAGATATGAGTTCCAGTATAATTTTAGCAGGCACTTTGATGCTGCAACAGATAGAGTCGTAATGTAATGCACGAAATGCATGAACAATTAAAGAGCTCTGCAGAGCCCATCAGAAAGGTCTGGATGCAGTCACAACCATATCATCAAAGTCCTACCCCCTTTTTGGTGCATTATACCATGATGCTTCAATCACATAGTCACATTTGGACTATGTGATTGGAAAATCCAGAGGTTTTTCTGTCTCCTTCTTCTCCCCAGTTCCCTTCCTCTGGGGAACACCTCTGGGATATTAAGTTACAACCAAAGTAAAAAAAAACAAAAAACAGAACCCCACCACTTTTGATTTCTAAAGACAACCACTGAAAATGGCCTTCTCTGTTGCAGCCCCTACCCTCTGGAACAGCACTGCTCCCATTCATGAGATAACAGAATAACAGAGCTGAAAGGGATCTTGGAAGTCCAACCTCTTGCTCAAGCAGGAAACTATACCAGGGCTGTCAAACACCCAGCCCGCGGGGTGGGTGTGTCATGTGCTGGCTATACCCATGCGCGGTTTAGTAAAGGGGGGAAAAGTCTCGATATGTCACATGATACCACCATGGCAATGTGAGTTTGACACTCCTGCTTTATACCATTTCAGACAAATGATTGTCCATTTTCTTCTTTAAAACCTCCAGTGATGGCGGATCCACAACTTCTGGAGGCAAGCCATTCATTCCACTGGCTAATTATTGTCATGCTCTGGAAATTTCTCCTTAGTTCTAGGTTGCTTCTCTCCTTGATTTGTTTCCCTCCATTGCTTCTTGCCCTGCCTTCTGGTGCTTTGGTAAATAGCTTGACCCCCTCTTTTTTTGTGGCAGCCCGTCAAATATTGGAACACTGCTCTCGTGTCACCCCTGATCCTTCTTTTCACTTGACCCAAGTGAAATGTCCTGCAACCATTCATTTTTAGCTTCCAGTCCCCTATCTTTGCTGCTCTTTTCTCCACTCTTTCTAGAGTCTCAACATCTTTTTTAAATTGTGGCAATCAAAGCTGAATGCAGTATTCCAAGTGTGGCCTTACCAAGGCATTATAAAACAGTACTAATACTGTTAATGCATCCTAGAATTGCACTGGCTTTTTTGGTGGAGGCAGCACACTACATACTCGTATTTAAGTGATTGTCCACTAGGATTTCAAGATCTTCCTGCAGTTACTGCTATTGAGCCAGGTATAACTTATTTTATACCAGCACAGTTGGTATAAGTGTAATTTCTTTCTTGCCTAAGTGTAAAACCTTACTTTTCTCCACTGTTCCCTCTAAGGTGCGTGGCTGCACGGCCACGCACATGGCAAGAAAACACCGTGCAGCAGTTTCTAACTGCCGCGCAGTGATTTCTGTCACAGGCTCCAGAAGCTGAGGGGCCTCAGAAAATCTAGGGTTAGCACGGGCGTGGGGATGGCGGCAGGAGCTTACACGGCACAGCCAGTCTCCTAGGACCTCCTAGGCACCGGCTGCGCTGCTCATTACCGTCAGTCGTCCCGTGTTCAGAAAAGCATACGCGGGGAAGTCCTTTGCAGGCGGCCAGTTCTAGCCGCCTGCAAAGGACCTCCCCAGACTTGTTTTGATGAGCACGGAGCGACTGACGGTAGTTTGCGCTGGCCGCGGCCGCTCAAACTAGCATCAGTCACCCTGTGTTCAGCAAAGCAAGCCTGGGGAGGTCCTTTATGGGTGTCCAATCCTAGCCGCTTGCGCCCGGCGCTGTGACTGAAGTAAACCCCCAAAGCCCCCGCCGCCACCAGAATATCTTCTGCCGCCTCCTCCAACAGCACTGCCGCATTTGCCACCCGACGTTGTGGCTGAGGTGAAGCCGCCAAAGGTCCCGCCAGCACCCCTGCCCGTGGCAGTGGTGCCTCCCCCTCCACGTGGATCCTCTGAGCTGGGCCCTGCGTTATCCCTCCCCCTTCCTCCTCTGCCGTGCTTTTGAGGAGCCATGAGGCCGCGGGAGCCAGTAGGAAGGCGGCAGAGGGGGCGGGAGCAGGAAAAAAAGGCTTCATGGCTTCTCAAAAAGCATGGCGGAAGTGGAGGCAGCGGCAGGGGTAACACGGAACCCAGCTGAGATGCTCCGAGCGGAGGGGGAGGCAGGGGGAGGCACCGCCGCCGCTGCCATGGGCGTGGGCGCCAGCGGGAGCTTTGGCGGCTTCACCTCAGCTGCAGCGCTGGGCAGGAAATGTGGTGGTGCTGTTGGAGGAGGAGGAGGCGGTGGTAGCAGTTATTCTAGTGGCGGCGGGGGCTCCCCCCGCCTCCCCCTCCGCTCGGAGCACCTCAGCTGGGTTCCGTGTTACCCCTGCCGCTGCCTCCACTTCCGCCATGCTTTTTGAGAAGCCATGAAGCCTTTTTTTCCTGCTCCCGCCCCCTCTGCCGCCTTCCTACTGGCTCCCGCGGCCTCATGGCTCCTCAAAAGCACGGCAGAGGATGAGGTGGCAGCAGGGGTAAATGCGGTGCCCAGCTCAGGTGCTCTGAGTGGAGGGGGTGCCAGCAGGAGCTTTGGCGGCTTCACCTCAGCTGCAGCACTGGGCAGCAAATGTGGTGGTGCTGTTAGAGGAGGAGGAGGTGGCGCCAGCAGTTATTCTGGTGGTGGTGGGGCTCGTCGGCATCTTCAGCGGCAGCCCTGCCCCCTGTGAAAAAAACTGAAGATGGACAGATCCATGCAGATGACGGCAACATGACTGGAGGAC